TTTCTTCTTTACAAACTTTAGAAACTTGTGTGATTTTGACAGTGGGCTTTGGAATATTCCCCAACTGCCAAGCTTCTGCATACCAGCAGTCATCTCGTCAACCACTATTTTTGTATATCCACAGGCATTCACGGTGCCATCTATAAATGTCATCTCGCCAATACCTCTTGCGCTCATGCTGCTCTATATGATCACACTCCCACCTCCGTGCTCCACTGTCATGACTATGCATTCACTGTGGTGGTCTTGGCCAGGTTCACACCAAACATGTTGGAAACCCATCTGTTCCAGACAAATTTATCTTGGTCTCATCTGATCAAAGGATGTGCTCCCAACATTAATGATTTTTTCTTTTTTTTTCATGTTCTTTAACCAAGTTTCAGGTTGTAACTTTGTGCCAACAAGCAGGCGCCTTATTTCCTTGGGTGCCATCCATAGAGGTTGATGTTGTGCAGTGTCCTTCACTGTCTGAGCTGTCACAGAAACCGTTTTTTTTTTTTTTTTACTAATAACTCCTGTGCCAAGTCTGAAGCACATGTTCTTCTATTTTTCAAAAATAGATTGTGCAAGTCGCATTCTGTCTGTGGTGACATTTCAGGAGAACGGCCAGTGCGGAGTTGACAGGAGATACTATGGTGCACTCTATGTCTCCTGATTACTGCTGCAACACTTTTTCAACTGGTTTTTATTTGGTCACAGCTTTCTGTGTTAGATTTTCATTTCTTCTTGCAGTCCTTCTCCAGGTTGAGCCATGATGCAGAACATGCAGCTGTGGTGTTCACAGGTCATTTTATAACCATGTTCGAGCATTTCGGCTAATTGGAAATCACAGGTGTACTTAGTTTTGTTTTAGTGATCGCATATGTATTCACTTCTGTTGCATTAAGTTTCTACTTCTACATCTCAGGTTCATCTTGTTTGTATGCTGCCTCTTGACCAAGTCACTACTGAAAATGAGAACCAGTTCTCAATTAACTTACCTGGTAAAATAACGGTTAAATAAATAAATAAATACTTTATGGCCTATATTTTCAATATGGTCTTTCTAAGGTGCTGTCTTTTATTGTTCATAAAAAAAGAAATACTCCACTTTTTTTTTTTTTTACTGCAAAATAATGCAAATAAAGAGACCTGATACAATTCTGAATCATTTGACATTTATGTGATGTTGCACACGATACTCAGTGCTATTGTATTCTCTATATTGGATAACCACTTTCTAGTTGGGTGAGATGCTGAAACAGGCTTTATGGTTTATTAGGGCACATCAAAGTGGTAAATATCTGTCTCAAAATGGAAAAAAAAACCTCCCCTACTGTGTCTTCGGAAACGCATTTTAATCTTATTTAGCGAATATTCCTTTTCAGAGAATACGAGATACGAACTGTCGCAACATAAAATCGGCGAAATACAGGGGATTTCATCTGATATGGTGACAGTCTATCACTGGAGACTCTAATATTCACCCATACAAACATGGGGACAGTCTGCACACAACACAAAAAGTTCTGAGTTGATATGAGGCAACTGTGCAGATCACTGAGCCGCTACTTGCCTTAAGATGCACAACAGTCCAAAATATCAAGCTCGAGTGAACGCAACCCCCATGAACCGACAGAGTGCGTGTGTCTCCACTTCTAAATCCATGTACGAGATATGTCTCCTCACACGCGTCGTCTAAACTTGGATGACACCACAGCAGAAAACACCTTGGGGAGGAAAAGAGCAAGAACGAGTTGAGGAGGGGAGGTTTAGCGAGGAATACAAATAGGCCGGAGATAGTGATCAATGACTCAGGCGAGGAGGGAGTGAGGAAGAAGATGAGTGGAGGAGGAGGAAGAGGAGGTGGGAAGGGAGAAAGGTGGAGGTGATAAAAAGGGATCTGAAGATGAGGATCTGACACCTCCCTAACGACCACTGCGAAGGAGAGAAGAGGAGAAAACCTACATGCATGAATTAAGAAAAAAAGAGAAAAAAAAAACACAGGCACTGGTCCGAATATCATTGATGGGAGTTTTTGACTGGCATCATCCCTCATTTTGAGAAATGTCATCTGTGGGGTGCCTCCCTGTGAATCATTTTAATAGAGGAAATACAGCTGTGTGTGTGAGTGTGCGTGCAGACAGAAGGGGGTGTAGGTATTGTTTGTCACCAGATGAACTCGTGGGGTGAGACTAATGAAGAGTGCAGAGAGAAGGAGGGTGGCATTTTAATTGGCCTCTCTCTCTCTCTCTCTCTCTCTCTCTCTCTCTCTCTGTCTCACTCCTCTCTCTTCTTCTCTCAGGGAGAACAGGAGATTGAATGTTGGCTTTATAGAGGTAAGAAGGGATTTCTAACATCGGCCCTGCAAACGCCTCGCTCGTCTAATGGTTCAATAACACCCCCTGTTACATACTTTGATTCAATGTCCGACACGGGCAGAGACAGAATTTTCACAATGGTTATGCGGCACTCGGAATTATTCATCATTAAATATTTCGACGTACGCTGGCTTTTGCTTACAATAACACAACTTCATAGGTCTAGAATACTATTTTGGACAAAATATTCAAAGATGTTTTGATGGACCCACCAAACACCAATTCCCAGATGTTGATTTTGGGTCTGTAATGTCATCCTGGCTTCAGTCACTTCGTTCTGACCCAAATTTAATCTAAAACAGTTTAAAATGTTTTGCTCCATAAAGCTAACACCGGGCCCAAGGCAATTTTTACACAACCTCGGTATCAGTGTGCAAACATTTTGCTTTCATGATTAAATAATCCCCCTGAATTCCACAAGCCTTCCTCTTTTTTAATGAAATGAAGAGACTTCTTTTCAGCTGTCACCTTCACCCGAAGCTAGATGTATATTTGACATGTGGTCATCCAACATGAGTCATCCTTTCAACAGCTATTCAGTGACATTTCGCTTGAAGGGAAAGACTTTCTTTTTATGAGATCATCTGAAAACTAAGCAACAGGATTTACTATTCAAAAAAAATAAAAATCCCTGCATTATGACAAAGACGAAGGAGAAAAAAAAAGTTAACTTAATCTGTTGATCACATGATTACGAATGTACGCGGTTTTACGCTTAGAGAAACGCCTTGCTCAAACTGTAATCTGACAACTCTACCTGAGGCTCTCCATCTCTGAAGGGAGGGTTGCTACAAATCATCATATCCCTGCTCTCCCCCGCCTCCCTTCTTCTGCTTCCCCATTTCCCTTCAGCATTTTGTTTGTCTGAAATCGCAAAGTTAGCTGCTAGCTCTTCCCCTAGGCGCCATACTCCACCTTCTCTTACTCTCTCTCTCCAACTATTTTCCTCTGTTTTTTCCTCGAGTCTTTCTGTCGGTGATTGCCAACTATCCTGAAGGAGAGAGAAGGGTAGAAATGTGGAAGAAGTGTGAGTGTTTCAAATGGCATCCCTCCTCCTTTTTATGACCCTCTATCTCTCTCACCATCTCCCCCCTCTCCTCCTCCTCTCTCTCTCTCTCTCTGTCTCTCTCTCTCCACATCTTCCTACATCCCCATCTCCCTGCCCTTCTGTTATGGCACTGGTTCATCCTCATGTATATTTATGCTACAAAGCTGAAGAGTCAGGCAGACTTAAAATGAAAACTCCAACTAGAGAGCGCTTGTGTGCTCATTTTGTGAATGTGTACGTGCACGGGAATGTGTGCACTGTCTGTGCGTGTGTGTGTGTGTGTGTGTGTGTGTGTGTGTGTGAGAGAGAGAGAGAGTGAATATGTACTCTTTTATCCTTTTTGGATACAAGCATCTTTTTTATATTCAAGGGTGGAATTCCTCTCCACTTCACCACCCACTGCATTCTGTTTTTTTCTTTCTTTTTTTTTCAGTCTCCCCATTCCTCTCATCTCTTGCCCAACTTTCAGCCACGGACAGGTGGCTCATTTTTTGTCAGTGGCAGTGACAGGACAGGTGAAAGTGACATTCTAATCTAAAGCAGTGATTCAGAAAACAACCACACACACACACTCACACACCACACACACATTTGCCTATCATGTATATCCTGTGGCTGCAGTGAGACTGGAAGACTCCTCTGTTCTTAGCTCATGCACACGTCCACAGAGCAGCATAAATCCCCACCACCACCACCACCACCACCACCACGCTCATACACATGCACACACTCCCATCTATGAAAACCCACCAAAACACAATTTATTTCCCTTGAACATCTCTCGAGTGTGAACACAGTGGGAGAATGTGACCATAGATTTCAAACAAAATTCCTCCTGCTGAGGACTTTTATCCAACCCTCCAGCAAACGTGAAGTGTTTTTTTTTCCCCCTCTTTCTCTCTTATAAATATTACATTCCTACAGAAATTGGGATTTGAAGTGTTTGCAAATACTGTATTTCTGTATGTATACATGTGCAGAGGTGCACGGCTGCCTGCGTGTGTGTGTTTGCTCATGCAAGCGTGTGTGTTAAAACAATAGCAGTCTTGAGAGGCGGGCTGCATGGCTGACTCTCCTTTAGTTTCCCTAAGAGGAGGAACGTGGGAAAAGAGGAATAAGTGCCATTCATCTTTTCACTGGCTCATTCACTACCTCTCTTTCTTTCTCTTACCCCTCCTCTTTTCCTCTTTCACACCACATCTTTGTTCCCTTAAATGGCCTCTTCTGGCTAAACCTCCATTCGAGGATACCCCCTCGTTGTACCCTGACACATATGCACTTGATACACAAACACAGAAAGCCATTACACACATACACAAGCCATTCCAAATATCTCCCCCGATGCACCCATGCCTGAGCTAAAATCCTCTGAAATACACTCCCGGAACAATCTTTTGCTGAGGTTACTTACACAGCAATAAGTAAACCCTCCTTATCTCCACCACTGCACTGCCATCAATTACTGTTTTTAGAAGTTGATACCAGAATGAAATATCTAATCCAACGCAACTGACCTGACATGAATTCATCCTCTCTATCATAAACTTCATCTCTGTCATGTGCAATATCACATCCCCCATCATCCCCAATACCTTCACATCCTTGGCGTTCATGCGTGTCCCTTCTTTCCCCACAAAAATGTCATCTATATCCACCAGTATGTGCCGGTCCAGGCCCAAAGTAAGCTTCCTGTCTGTGAGGTAGGAAATGGCGTCCACCAGGATGAGTCTGTGGAGCCAGTAGCCCAGTCCCTGGCCAAAGAGCACTCTCCTCACCCCGTCATAGAGTCCCATGTCCTGCACCACGGTGGCCTGGTGGCCCAGACTGAAGCCCGGCCCTGGATTATCTCCGCTGCCTGCCCCTGCTCCCTCCTTAGCCCGTGCATGCAGCACAGCTTGATACGTGGAGTGATTAGAGGAGAATGAGGTCCAGTCCTCCCCGGGTAAGGCCCCTCGATCTGTGCCGGGTTTGGTCAGGTGGAGGAGAGGCGAGCTGGACACCACGCAGCAGTCCCAAAGCGCCTGGTTGGTCCTAAGCACCAGCGGTAGGCCTCGCAGTTTGAGGATAGATGGGGAGTTTTCAGTGGCGCGGTAGAAACCTATGATGCCGACTCTGTACTCGGTGCAGTACTGATGCAACAGCTGTCTGTTCCACGTATCTGCATGTGCATACTTTAACAGGTTCTCGTAAATTATGAGCGAATATCGTCCGCGGCCCTTTTCCGTCAGCGGCGGAAGGTCGCCCTTTCCTGAGGCTATCTCCATGCGGAACTGGAAATGTGCTGACTCCAGTATAGCCACAATGTCCTGACCCAGCTGGGAGTACTGGGACTCCACCAGCACCAGCACCACCGGATCAGTGTGGACATGCGTGTGCGGGGGGTTCGGAGGGTAGGGGTAGGGGAGCTGTCGGTACGGGGACATGGAGAGCGGCTGGGAGCAGGCGGGCTCAGCGGATTGTCCAAGCTGCATAGACGGGGTAGAGTTCGTGAAGAGGAAATAGGCAGAGAGGAGTAGGGACAGGAGACAGCAGGAGGCCAGTAGGAGCAGGAGCCGACGCAAGTGGCGACGGAATCTCACAGCCACTGTCATCGCGAGAGGAAGAGATGCCCCTTTTTGTTTTGTTTTTTAAAGTTTGCTGGAGTCTAGAGAGCGCATGCAGGAGTTCAGGGAGGTCTAAGGAACCCCAGAGATTGTCTATGTGTGTCAGACACGAGCAAAAAAGCCACTCAGGGGTGTGTCATGTCACCATGGCAGGTGAGAAAGGGAGCTGCGCCGGATGTCGGGGAACAAAGGTCTTGATTGAGAAAACGCAGTCGGGGCGCTCTCCTTCCAAACCTCACGGAGGAATCACACGCACAGACAGAGCGAGCGATGATTAATTTCTGCAGAGAAAAGGGGGACAAGGAGAAACGAAGAAAGAGTGAATTTGTCGGGCAAGGTTGGATAGTATGCATTAGTTCACTGTGTGCATGCTCGCGGATGTGTGTGTGTGTGTGTGCGCGCCTAGGTTGTGCCACCCTGGGGAGTGTGAGGGCACAGCTGGTAACTACCGAGCTGATTGAAAACAACTTGCATCCTTAGGGCTTAGCCAACCTCTGGCGCGCACACACACACGCAAAGTGACATCACAGTTAAAAGCATAAACACAACAACACAGAAGTCAATCCCCACAAATAAACAACAGCTGGTTGTGTGTTAATATGACAGTGTGGGGAGGTGGATGGGATCTCAACTAATAGGTCCCATAAAGCTCTACTGAGAATTCCTCTAATTGTGCCAAAACTCTGTGCACCTCTGTCCTATTTCTGAACCTAATCATCTGAAATATCACAAAATTAGAGCTGGAATCCTTTTGCCAGGAGCACTAATCTGGGGGGAGCCCGTGACAGTACAGAGGAAATGAGGAACGAGAGAAAGTGCAAGAATAAGAGAGACGGAGAGAGAGAAAGAGCAGAGAGAGGAACAAAATGCAATGAATTATAGAAAGAGACAAAAAAGACCAGGATTAGCATCTTAATGTATGTGCCGGGAGCCAGGGAGAAGAAAAGATCCCACAGCATCTCTTTCTCTCTCTTTTCTCTCCACCCCCCATTATACCCCTCTTCTCTCCTTCTGTCTGTTTGAATATCAATAGTCTTTCCTCACGTTCTCCTCACTTTCTTCCCTTTGCCTTTAGAGCAAAAGCAAGAGAAGGTCACAGAGGAGGGGACTACAGTCATATTCCCTTCATATGAAACCAGAAAATGAAACGAGGCGGGGGGAAAACTGTTTTCTTTACAGCTGTGCCAACTCCGTGAGAAAAGTTGTATTATTTGCTTTAACAGAATGTGTGTCATCCAAATTGGCACTTGAATTATAAATGAGGGGCTTTGTGGCGTCAAGAATTTTAACACAAAGCAAAAACGTGCAGGAGAGAAAGGCATCTACTCTTATTCATTCTAAGAGGAGGCTGATTGAAAGTTATGTTTTCTTTATTTAAAAGGAGACTTCACAACTGAGACACAGCTGAGTTTGTGAGTTGATCTAACCTGTTACTAAAGGTATGTATTTCCTGACTGTCAGGAGCCACAGGAGGGCGCTGGAATTGGATTGAGACGGATAGTTCACTTGGAAGTTATTTTAATAACTCATAGTGGTAATCGAAGTTATCCTATATGTAAGAATAAGATTTTTTTTTTTAAACTGTTGTGAAATTTTAAGCCTACATTTAAAAAAAAGTTTTGAAACATTTTAAAATGCAAATTTAAAGCAAAGATGTGAAGTTTTTTTTTCCAATTAGTTTTTGAAATAACAACGATTTATTGTTATTATTATTATTTTTTTATTATGAATTTATAGCTTAATTTGATTTGTCATAAATATTGAAAGACCAGTACAAAAGACATGCAATATTTAAAACAGAGTCGTGTTGTTACAGCACAGCTAATAAAAACTAAAGGAAAAAACAAGAGCAGTGATAAATCTTCTATCTATTAAGTCTCTAGTAAAAATATAACAATTTAAAATTAAAAAAAAAAATACAATGCAACCTGCAGCACAAACATTCCTTGACTGTTATGAGGCAGACAAATGACAAAAGTCCAACTAACAGCAGGCGATCGCACACACTTTTTTTTCCCATCCCGCTTCCCTCCGCTGAAGTTTATGTCACCGACTCGCCCACTTACCTCTGACCGAGTCCGACGCGCTGCTGCACGGCGAGAGGCGAGACGGCGGAGCGGCGAGAGTGATGCTGCTGCTTCTGCTTCGGGTGAGTCCGGGGCTCCGCTCTCGGTGGCGCACCACTCCCGTGTCTTTTGGATGCTGAGGCGTTGTGCCATCTCTCTCTCTCTCCCTCTCTCTCCCCCTCCTCTCCTCTCCTCTCCTCTCTCTCCCCTCCACTAGAGCAGCAGGGGCGGCCAGCCGGAATGATCCGCTCTCCTCCCCCCTTTCATCATTCTTCGCTTTCTCTTACTCTCGTCTCTCTCCCCCCGCTGTTTCCTCCCCTCTCTCCGTGTGCGCTCACTTCTTCTTCTTCTTCTCCCGTTTTAGCTCAGCTTTTTTATTTAAAGGTTGGAGATGAAGCGGCGGCGACTACATGCGCCGAGATCCGGGGCTGCCCGTTAACGACTGAGTGCCGCGCGTAAAATGCTCCGGTTTAAGAGCGCCTACACAAGTGGAGGCGATCGAGGGAGAGAGAGAGAGAGAGAGAGAGAGAGAGAGAGAGAGAGAGGGGGGGGGGGGGGGGAGAGGCGAAAGACGGGGAGGGGGCTCGGTTTGATTGACACAAACAGCCTTCTTTCTCGGGCATCAGCGATCACGGGCCCGGTAAAAGCTCACGGCCCGTTAGTTGGTGTTAGTTGGATGAGGGATGTCACACACCTTTATACGCACTGGTGCAAGTTAACGGTGAGCTTTAGTGTTCCTCTCCATCTCTTGCTTCTTGCACAAGTATTCAAGGATAAAAAATAAAATAAAAAGAAGAAGAAGAAGAAGGGGAGCAACACTTACACCACAGCCAGGGCGAAAATAAAATTTCACCTACTCAAGATCAATGGAAATAAACCGACATTGAAGAGCCCACATTCATGCATGTTTGTATGAATCAGTCCCATTAGGCCTCCTCCTGCAGAATGTCAATCAGCCAAACCACAGCCTGTCAATCACAGTGTTTTTTAACTTGATTAGGTGTTCCCTTTTCACTCCCCACTAGTTCATCAATCTCTCTAACCCATTTGCACTGACACACTCTTGCTCACACAAATCTCGGTGGAGCTGGTGGGCCCCTCATTCACATTGTAATGGCCTCACAATGGAGCTTACTTAGTGATTGTGCATGTGCTGTGCGTTGGAGAGCGAGGACACAAGTCAGACGTGCGAAGGAAATGTGTCAACTCAAAGAGAGAGGCACACGATTGCGCTATTTCAGAAAGTGGCTCACGGAGGGCGATCTGCGGCTACATACGGCTTTAAGCATGTAGAGTACACACTGACACACACGTAATATATATCATCAAGCCGCAGCAGGGAGGAAAAACATGTACTTGTGTCTCTTTCACTTGCCCTTTACTTAAGCCCCTTTCAGACATGCACTCCTTTCCATTAATCTAATGGCATCTAAACATGCCGGCTTCATGTCTGAATGAGCACCTCGGTCGCTTTTCCATAAAAGTCGCGAGGACAATCTTGATTGTAACATTTACGAATCACTTTCAACAAGGCACAAATCTGAACTGCATGCAGGCGAACAAGATTACAATGCACTGGCTGTCCGATCTATTCAAAAATTGCACATGTACCGCGGCTTTCTGTCACTGCTGTGGGTATGCGTGAATGAAACCGTGAAGAAAATAATTGTAAAAGCAACCTACCTATTTCAAAACGTTCTCGGCCTCGTCTGAAATGGTCACAGGATTGTTCTTGCATTTCCGTAATTTTCGAGCTATTGAGCGCACCTGAATATAAGCCGCACCCACTAACTTTAAAAAGAAAAAAAATTTTGTATATATAGGTCGCACTTGTCTGTAAGCCGCAAGTTGTAACATGAGATATTTTCACAGTAAGATGTTACACAGAAAGATTTTTTTTTACTTTTAAGTAAATTTGAACCGGTAACATATACAAATACATAAATGCTTGTAACACGGCTGGTTAAGAAAATAAAAAATACAGTAGCCTACCAGAAAAAGTCATCGATCGCTATCTTCATCTTCCTCCTGCGCACTAAAACCACTGAAGTCGTCTTTTTAAGTGTTGGAACTGAACAGCCTCAGAATTACTTCGTCACACACTTCCTCTCTTTCGTTGTCGCTCTCAATGTCACTTTTGTCTTGAGGCAAAATCGTAAAAATCCATAAATTAGCCTCATCATTGTTTAAGCCGCAGTGTTCAAAGCGTGTGAAAGACGTAGCGGCTTATAGTCCGGAAATTATATATAATAAATAAAAAAAGAAATTACATTATACAATACATAATACTTCAATGCACTTGGTCCACTGGTGTCCAAGCTTTGCTATGCGAAGAAGGCCACATCTGAGCTTCAAATTTCTCCTTAGCAGCACGCATGACCTCATCATAGCTCGATCACGCAGGTGAGGTTTCAGTTCAGGAAACAGAAAGAAGTCAGAAGGTGTCAGGTCGGATGAGTACGGTGCTGCTTGTCCCACCTGTGCTGTGTGGACAACATTGTTCTGGAGCAACAGCAGCCACCTCAAAGGTTTTTTCGTTGATTGCTTCAAACATTAGAGCTTTTGTGGACAGTGACTTAAGGTGGTTTACATTTATGTCCCAAAATGGGAGTTTCTGGGTGAAGCTGAGAACTGTCTGAAGCACCCTCATGTCTGAATGATACAATGCTGTCACTTTCAAAGCTAGATGAAGCCAGCAATGTTATGTTAATGTCACATGTCTGAAAAGGGATTTACTTTGAGAAATTTACACATTCTCACTCAAAATGTCTCTATATATTGCTCTCACTTACCGACATGCACTCCTTTCCATTATTCTTAATGATTAGGCTTCACTTCTTCCACAAAAGTCGCGACAGCAGTCTAATTAGGTCGAACATTTACATATCCCTTTCAACACAGCACACGTCTGGACTGCATGCAAGAAGTGTTAACAGTTAAAAAAAAAAAAAAAAACTACCATGTCCAATCTCGGCACTGTTGCTGATACATCTGAATGAAGCCGCGAGAAACGATGACATAAAAGTGACCTACGTCTGAATGACAGAATGCCATCACTTCAACAGATTGATGAAGCCAGCAATGTTACATATCCCATGTCTGACAAGGGCTTCAGTGTAATGACTAAGCGGCGGTGGTGAGAAACAGAGCTTGAATGAAATATAACAGCCAAAATATCATGCCCTACAGAATGGAATCCGGAGATAATGAAGGTTTGGATTGGAGTGCGATTGTGTTTGTATGTAAATTAGTGTCAGTGGGTGAAGTGTAATTAGAGAGGCTGTTCACCCATTTCCTCCACATTGCAAGCAGAGAACCACTTCTGCTACGGTGGTAGTTGAAGACAATAAACCAGAAATGAGGACTAGACAGCTGCACAGAGGGTACAGTGTAGGCTACAGTGTGCATACATACATGAGTGTGTGTGTGTGTGTGTGTGTGTGTGTGAACCCTAAAGGTAATTACAGAGGCGTTTATTGCCACAAAATCATAACTGCTGAGAAAGCTCAGAACAGAAAAAAGGCGCCCAACACGCACGTGTGAGCATATGCTGCCTCTAACTCACAACGGTGCGCACGAGGATACAGTCGCTCACACAAGCGCATGTAAGAGCGCACACAACAAAGGACTATGTGAAAAGTGTCAGAGCTGCCATGTTCGACTAGCACTCTGACTGTTAAACAGAGGAGAGCCCAGAGATAAATGAGAGAGAGCAAGAGAGAGGCAGAGAGCGGGAGGGAGAATGCTTGTTGTCTTCATCAGAGGCTTTTGTTAAGTGAGAGATAAGAGAGGAGGAGCGACTGATTCCCCCCTCTTCTCTCTCCCCGCTGAGAGCTAAATGGTGGCTCTGTGAGTCTCTCGTCCTGCGTGAGGCCTGAAGAGAGCAAATGGAGCTCAAGTGTAAAAACAGGGAAAGACATAATCATCACAATGCATCACATCATCGCCGGGAGTCAGGGCAGCACGCATCCACGCAGCTCAGCATTCAAGCCATATCCTCCTAATTAGAAACCCAACAAAACACCGGGCAGATTGTTGCATGCTTTTGCCGAACACATTACTGGAACCTGTGCCCTGGCACTAATAATGATACTCTCTTCTCCTGGCTGTTTCCACAAAGCGCAGGATCTATTGCTCAAACGAGCAGCTCTCGGAGATGTATCAGCTCTTTTCCTCCCACAGTATAAACAACAACATGCTCGCTTTGCTAAGGTGTGTTGGCTGCTTGATGCTGTTGCTATTTCAATGATTCCTGCTCCTTCTTCTTCTCCTTCTGTATGGTGATCGAACCACCTACCCGCTCCTGACCCCTCCCCATGCCTGGAAATGTTGATAGATAGCTGTTCTCTTAAGAGCTCAGAGCCCAAGTGAAAGCTGCCCCCCCCCCCCTTCCAACCTCACTCCTCATCCCCCAAGCACATTAGAGGAAATATCTTTTGGCCAATCAATACAGCTCTTACAGATTGATAAGCCAAAGATACACATGCACAACAGCACACACATGTGCACGTTCACAAACACACACAGAAAAAAAAAAAAAAAATGGAGAGGGAGAAGACACACTTCTTCCATCTTTAGGTCTAGTGTATAGAATAACCAGACCTGAATCAATCTATTACTGGAATGCTGCCAGTTGCGGGATTACCATAGCAACATACACCAGAAAACTATACTTGGCAATGAATAATATCAAATGTATTTTTTTGTTGTTTTATTTATTTTACACACCCAGATAAATTGCTAATTTTAATCGAATCCGTCCCACAATATAACAAGATACTCCTGGGGGAGGGGGGGAACACAGTAAAAAGTAGAGCTTGGTGGTGTTTTATAGCACACTTTCAGAATAAAATGCAGAAAGAGAAAGAATAGGGCTAAAATTGAGTATTTAATACATTATCATGGATTGAAAGCTTTGAATTCTGTCTTTTGTTGAGGTTTTGGTGTTTTTGGTGTTGTGACGAAAGTGTTCCTCAACTTTCATTAGTTGAGATCATTTAGGCCAGACGTGCAACCTAATTACAAAACTGTTAATGATCACGGGGAGTAAGGAGAAAAAAAAATCAGAATGCGTCTACAGTACAATCAAACATACGTGAGTCGGTTCACATCGGCGTGTTTTGGTACGAGCATGTTTGTCTGTGTGACTCATTGAAAGACAGGATGTGGTTCACCAATAAGAACGTAGCTTTTTGACATATTCAGGAACAATATTGCCTCCACACA